ATGAGAGACAGAGAGAGAGAGAGAGACAGAGGCAGAGGGAGAAGCAGGCTCCCAAGGAGCAGGGAGCCCGATGCGGGACTCGATCCCAGGATCCTGGGATCATGACCTGAGCCGAAGGCAGACGCCCAACCGTCTGAGCCACCCAGGCGCCCGTTCCAGTGATTTCTTAAAAATTCAGTCTTTGAGCCTTTAGTCAGCTGACATTCATTTGCCTAGAGCAGTGACCTCTCCCTCAAGGAGCCGCCATATATGATTCCGTGTGCAAACATGGGTTATTCGTTATGAACATAGTGCGAGCCAGCGCTGGATGGCTGCTACGTGTGTGCCAGCCTGGGGCTGGAAGCACTTACTGCCTCCTCAGGGCAGGCCGATGAGGCAGGTGTTCTAGGGCGAGAGAGCTGAGGTGAGGGGAGGATGACTAATGGCCATGTTAGTGCTCCAGGGAGTGAGGCTGGGCAGTCTGGCCCAGAGCGGGCATCCTTAATTACTTCAGTAATTTGTTTTGTCTTTAATTTTTCATTCTTTACTTGTAAAAATAAACTTTATTGAGGTATAATTTACACACAGTAGGATGCACCCGTTTTAAACATACAGTTCTAGGAGGATTGACATCTGCCACCCCAGTTAAGACTTAGGAAATGTCCATCACCCCACACAGTTCCCGCGTCCTCCTTTGCCAGTCCCTCCTCTCTCCTCTGGCCCCAGGCAGCCATTGATGGTTATTGATAGGATTTGGTTAAAATCTACCATCTGGTTAGCTGTTTTCTGTTCATCATTTATTTCTTGTTTTCTTTTCCCTCTTTTTCTGCCTTTTCTGGGTTTAGTTTAGCATGTATTATGATTCCATTTTATCTCTTCTGTTGACTTATTATTCATATGTCTTAAAATATTTTTATATTTGTTGCCTTTGGGTTTATAGTGTACATTTTTTAAAAATTTCTGTTTATTTATTTAGAGAGAGAGAAAAGGAACTTCTTTCATTTCCTAAGCACCATGCTTCTTGGTGGCCCTAGCTTCCCCACCGAGGTGTCACAGCAAACAGCAGATTTGAAACTCCCACCGGGTTACGGATCACAGTTACTTCCGAGGGGTCTTCACAGTTAAAATGGGCATACATTTCAGAAGGCAGCCTCTGGGCTCCCCTCTCTCTCACACACACACACACACACACACTCACACAGACTCTCACACAGGGGAACGTTGTTCAGCTGGTGGGCTTGGCTGGCTCACGTCAGGTACTGTACCACAAGGAACATGACCACACAGGTGAGCAGCATCCCTCCAATCATAAAGTACTTGTCCTGGAAAGCCCGCTTCTCACCTCATGCTGTAACAAGCTCAGCATGTTGGCAGTATCAAGGATCTTCTTCTGAGCCCCCTTCAAGGTCAGTCTCTGGGCCCTCAGTCCTTCCAGAATACTGCGCCCTACTCCAATGAGGTCATCTATGCCATGGTGAATTTTCTGGAGGGAAAATGCCGCGAGTCATCCATTAGGATGGCGCTGAGTCCTTAGTGGTGGAAGTGTGATACCGAAGCCCCTCTTGCCATCTCTCCTGCTCTCTTATGTATCACTGATGCTGGAAGTTTCCAAGCATTCTACAGGTGCTGGACATGATACTTTCAGTGGTCAACATGAAGTTTGGCATTCTGTCTTTTGTTAGGGGGCTCCTTGCTGGACAAAATCTCCAGACATTCTAGATGGCTGAATATCTGGTCTGTGTTTGCTTGGATTTTGTTTTCTACTAAGTGCAGAGACTATTTGCCATCTCACGCCCTCCCTTGTGAGACTAGGTCTTACGGACCTGCTTGTGCGTTTGCTGGTACAGCGGCTCCATGTCGCCAGCCCTGCCGGGGCCAGCCCTGGCTTTGCAGTATATATTTTATTTGTTCGTTATTACAAATCTGCTTTATTTTTCTGTTGAATCAAGTATTAGCCCCCAGTTTAGAGTTTGATTTTTTTTTTTTTAATGCCTTCCGAGCAGTAGCACAGTGAATATCACCTTGTCAATAGCCAAATAATAAATGAGATTACTCCCAGTGGTTATGTCCACATCTAGATTGTTCCAGTGGTCAGGAACTCTTACTTGTTTGCTTTAGCTTTTAGTTCTTGGTCATATCTCCAAATATAAAAGAACTGAAAAACTCCTGCTGCCCCCACAAAGAAATTAACAGCAAACAGACTCCAGCTTTTTGGAACAATTAACAAGTGAGTCTCCCGACCACATAAACCCTGTAGCCGTCAACATAGCAGATTGAGTTGTGCTGAGTTTCTCTGCAGGTCTGGCCATGTCAGCCAATCCAGCACACACCACCCCCATTTCATAATTGGAGCTCAGAAAAAGACTGGGACCTGCCAGGTGGTTGTACAACGGCCTCAATTTCTCCGCCAGCAAGAGCTTCACTTTATCAAGGATCCGGTGGTAGGCGGCCCGAAGGGCCCAGGTGCCAGCAGCTGACACCTCTGTGGAAGAGTGGTCGTGGAGGCCGAGTGGGATAGTGGCTGCCTGCTCCCCTCTGCGTGACAAGGAAGGGCACTCGTCACTTTCTCTTGCCATAGTGCCTCACGTCTTCCTCTCCCCTCACGTTGTACACTTTAAATTCATCCACAGTTTACCTTCAGGTGATACTGTACTGCTCCACAGTACGGAACAGCACACTGTGTTATTGTGCTGCACAGATACTGCCTTTTTTTTTTTTTTTTGTACAAATTGAAGGTTTGTGGCAACCTGCGTTGAGCAGGGTTTTTTATTGGTGCAGTTTTTCCAACAGCATTTACTCCCTTTGTGTCTCTGTGTCACAGTTGGGTAATTCTCAGTATTTCAGACATTTTCATTATTATTATATTTGTTACGGTGATGTGTGATCATTGATCTTTGATGTTACTATTATAATTGTTTTGGGGTGCCACAAACTGTGCCCATTAGGACGGTGAGCTTTTTTTTTTAAGACGGTGAACTTAATTTATAAATGTTGTGTATGTTCTGACTGCTCTGTGGACTGTGAGTCCACCCCCCCACCCCTTTGGGCCTCCCTGTCCCCTGAGACACAACAATATGGACATTAGGCCAATTAATAACCCTGTAATGGCCTCTAAGTGCTCAAGTGAAAGAAAGAGCCACACATATCTCACTTGAAATCAAAAGCTAGAAATGGTTAAGCTTGGCGAGGAAGGGATGTCTAAAGCCAAGATAGGCCGAAAGGTAGGCCTCTTGTGCCAGAAGTCCACATTGCAAATGCCAAGGAAAGGTTCTCGAAGGAAGTTAAGAGCGCTACTCCAGCGAACACATGAGTGATAAGAAAGCACAACGGCCTCGTTGCTGCTGGGGAGAAAATTTTGGTGGTCTGGATAGGAGATCAAAGCAGCCCCAGTATTCCCTTAAGCCAAAGCCTCATCCAGAGCAAGGCCCTGACTCTCTTCAAGTCCACAAAGTCTGAGGGAGGTGAGGAAGCCGCAGAAGAAAAGTCTGCAGCTAGCAGAGGGGGGCTCATGAGGTTTAAGGAAACACGGAAGTGCCAGGTGAAGCAGCACGCGCTGGTGGAGAAGCTGCAGCAGGTTCGGCAGAAGGTCCAGCTAGGATCGCTCGGGAAGGCGGCTGCCAAACAGACGGTCCGTGGAGACGCGGCAGCCTTATCTGGGGAGAAGAGGTCGCCTGGGACTGTCCTAGCTGGAGAGAAGCCAGCGCCTGGCTTCAGACGTTCAAGGGACAGGCTGACCTCCCTGTTAGGGGCTAATGCGGCTGGTGACTTGAAGCTGAAGCCGGAAAATTCTTAGGGCCCTTAAGAATTATGCTACCTCTCCTCTGCCCGTGCTCTGCAGACGGAACGGCGCGGCCTGGACGACAGCATACCTGTTTACAACACGGTTTACCAAATATCTGAAGCCCACTGTGGAGACCTACTGCTCAGAAAAAAAGGTTCCTTTCGAAATATTACCGCTCGTCGACATCGTACCTGGTCACCCAAGAGCTCTGAAGACGTCCGGCGAGATTAGTGTTGTTTTCATGCCTGCTAATGCAACGTCCATAATGCAGCCCACGGAGCAAGGAGTAATTTTGACTTTGAAGTCTTATATTTAAGAGACACACTTCGCAAGGCTGTATTATTTAAGAGACACACCATAGATGGTGATTCCTGTGCTCGATCTGGGTAAATTGAGAATCTTCTGGAAAGGATTCACCATTCCAGACGCCATTAAGAAAATGTTCCCATGGTTCAATGTCAGTACTAACAGGAGTTTGGAAGAAGCGGGTGGCAGCCCTCATGGAGCTAGGACAGTCCCAGACGACCTCTTCTCCCCAGATAAGGCTGCCACGTCTCCACGGAGCGTCTGTTTAGCAGCCGCCTTCCCGAGCGATCCTAGCTGGACCTTCTGCCGAACCTGCTGCAGCTTCTTCAGTTGAGGGGTTCAAGACTCAGTGGAGGAAGTCACTGCAGATGTGGCGGAAACAGCCAGAGAGCTAGAAGTGGAGCCTGGAGAGGTGAGCGAACCGCTGCCCTCTCAGGATAACACTTGAACGGATGAGGAGGTGCTTCTATGGAGGAGCAAAGAAGGGGATTTCTTGAGATGGAGTCTACTCCCGGTGACGATGCTCTGAAGACTGTTGAAATATGACAAGGATTTAGGATATTGCATAACCTTAGTTGATAGGTTGGCAGGGTTTGAGAGGACTGACTCCAGTTTTGAGAGAAGTTCT